GTATTAAAAAAAAAAACAATTGGTGATAGAAAATAATTTGTTAATTTTTTATAGGAATTTGTTATAAACCATCTTGCCCCATTCTTGTCCCGTTTTCTCCTATTTTTACAAAGTTTATTTTAGCATACAAATTCTGTATGCAAATACTTAATAAGTTACACAAACGAGTTACAAACGATATAATATACAAAATTAGGCACTTCAACATTTTTTTTTAGGCGTAAATTGAAAAGCAAAACTAATACAATATGTTAGAGCTAAACATTAATCTTTAAAAAATACCAAACTTATGGTTACATTATTATTAGTTAAAAAGTTAGGCGATTTTTAAACCACAAAATTGGTGATTGTTTCGTATGACTCTTGACGTTTTTAGCAGTTAACGTTTTTAGGAACCGCATAAACGTATCCATCACTTCCGTTCTTTTGAAAAACCAACAATAAACGAGACCGTTATTATTCAAAATTAAGAATATAATAATAATAAAAACTATAGTAATTGGAGTTGTAATGGCTACGACACGAATCACCTTTGAAATAATAAATCTGTGACAGTACTTTTTTTTTAATGTTTTATTTATGGTAATGCAAAAAAGGTTTTACAAAAAATAAACTATTTAAAAAAAAACTAAATTTTCGTAGGTTTTCGTGAAAAAACTTTAAAAAAAAAAAAAAGTCTTGAAAATTGACTAGTACTAAAGGTAAGCACAAAAATGTCTTAAAAGTAAACTTTTAAGACATTTTTGTGTGTGGTTCTATTTTTTGCAATAAACAAATAAATAGGTGTGGTTCTATTTTTTGCAATAAACAAATAAATAGTTATTGTATTTTAAGTCATTTTTTAAGTCATTTTTAATCAAAAAATGATTTAACTTTACATGCCTCTTTTTCTCCATAGATTGGAAGTTATTTCTGTCCACTTTATTCAAGAAACTCTCTGGTATTAAAGATTTTAATACCAGAAATATACGCCTTAAGGTCTAATATTTTTAACTATGATGCTTCTGCTTCTCCTTGAACAAGATCTACAATACATTAGATCAACACATGTAAGCTAAAAATGATTTTCTTTAAAATGTTTTTGAAGCACTAAAAGTGTTTTCAATTAGTATTTTTAAATAAAGTACGTCACTATCAACTACAATAATTCCGATTGGAAATTGGTAATTTAGATTTAAGAAAACCCTGAACTTTGAGTTCTAATATATCTAAGATTTAATCCAAATCTTTAAATAAATACATCGCACAGTAGGCCGTAGAGGAACAAATCCCCTCAAAACCAACTTCTATATTGGAGTAATTTTTTTTGTAAATGTAATCTAGAGACTACCAGCACTTTAAAACTGGTATAATTTTTTCCTTACTATGATTTTTGAGCTTAGCATAATAATTTTACAATGAAAATATTTTACCTTTCAAGTATTGGGGAAAATCAAAAAGTTATATAAAAAAGGTAATATGATTATGAAAGGTAATATGAAGACAATTTTAAAAAATTTTAACTTCTTAACGGTATGTATTAGTCCATTGTCATCACAAATTGAAATTAGAAAAAGAAATATAAAAATCATTTTTTTTTTATGCTTGCTTTTTTTCAAAGTATTTTCCAATAAAACTAACTAAAATGTGCAACATTTTTTTTTAACACTTACCTTCTAAGCCGCACACGTGATCAACTGCTGAGCGCAGTATGTGCTAAGCTTTTTATTATAAACGAAAATCTAATTGTAGGTTTTGTTTTAAAAAAATAGAATAAAAAGAAGCATTAAGATCGGATTTAAATTTTATTCATTTAAATCTTTTTTTAAAAGTGGTCGTTCATAAATTACGTCACGCTTTAGGTGAGGATGGGGGGGGGGAGAGGTAATGTTTTTGTGAAGACTCTATTCGGAACATTTTACTAAAGAGTTACGAAGTGGGAAGGGGTGGGAGAGGTCTAAAACGGTCGAAAAATTGCGTGAGGTAATTTGTGGACAACCCCTTTGCACTTTTAATGTTGTTGTGGAAAGTTATAAAACATTTTTTGACGAGTAAATGAATTACGTTTAATTTTTTTTTTATTATTGGTAACTATTTTTGTTATTTTCAAGCGGTTTTGTGTTAATTTCATGTGAACACATGCTCACATAAAATTTACACATTTCAACAAATAAAGATGGTTTATGGAAGAAAATATTTATTATTTGTATTTATGTATGTATGTATGTATGTATGTATGTATGTATGTATGTATGTATGTATGTATGTATGTATGTATGTATGTATGTATGTATGTATGTAGTTTTTATTTATGTAAAAAGAAGAGTTTAGTTTAGTAAATAGAAATTAATTTGTTTACGAGAAAATATGATTTTTAATTTCTCTTTGCGTTGAAATGAAGAAAACTTTATCATTTAATAGTTTTAGTTTTAATAACTTTTCTAAAATATTTTCATCTAGAAAATTGTACTTTAAATCGGTCAAATATGTTTTGTTCATTTAAATAGCTCCTAAAATACGGAAAAACAGTTTATTATTAAAATACGGAAAAACAGTTTATTATTAAAATACGGAAAAACAGTTTATTATTAAAATAGTCATTTCATACACCCTGATTTCAAGTTTTTACACTAAAACAACTGAGAGTATTACTTAATAAAATTCTCCAGGCACCAAACAAACTATCATCTATTGATAGAAATGGTTTGCAGTTATAATACTTGGGTTTCCGGAATGAGGAAGAGTTAGGGAAAAGTTAAAGATTCCAATCAACCTGAGGAGGCCAATGATCTCTTGATGTACTAATGTATGATCTATGTATTGATGAACTGTCTCTTTATGTACTAATGTACGATCTATGTTATCACCTAGATTCTTATATAAAAAAAATTATGTTAACAAAGTTTATTTTTATTGAAAGCTATATGTTTATATTCCCTGTGCAATCATAACCTCTTCTGGAGACCAATTATGCCCAGATCTAAATTCCCCAAAAGCAAATACTTATATTTAGACATACAACTATTCCAACTAATTGAAAAACCATTGGGACAAACCAGGACCACCCTTGACCACCCATAAAATGACCATCTGTACGGTTATGATCTTTCTCAGAGACCAAATATGCCTTGATTTGGATTCATCAATCTTAATTACCTATACTTAACTAAAAATGTACCATCTAGTTGAAAAACCATTGGGGTATTACAGTACCACCCTTGGTTACCCTAAATAATTATTTGAGTGGTCATAACCGCTTCTAATGACCGAATATACCCAGATTTGAATTCTCTAACCGCAATTATTTATATTTAGACAAACAAAATGTTCCGTCTAATTTAAAAACCAACAAGACATCCTATAATTACCCTTGATAACCTCTAAAATAATGACTTGTGTAATAATGACCACTCCTAATTTAAGGTGGTCGTCTAGTAAAAAATATGTTAAAAATCAAACTTTTGTTATTGTTATAGTTTAAAAGAAAAATTTTTGCTTTTTATACTTTATATACTTTTACACATGTTTTTTAATTAGATTTGTTCAAAATTTACTTCCTATAATGAAACTAATTAATTTTTTCCCTTAGCAACACCCTTAGCAACAATGTTTTTTGGTTATTTTGGGCCAAAATTATTAACCAAACTTAAAAATATAAACTTTCTTAAGAATGAAGAAACTTAAAGCTTAAAATTATTTATTGATAAAGAAAAACAACAGAAAGAAGGAGATTTCTATTTGTTTTTTTTTTTTATTGTTTTAGTTTTATTTTGTTAGTTTTCTCTGTTTGTGATATTTCAGACTTATAACAAGCATATCTCAGCTTCTTTAAACTATTTTTGAATGAAATTTTCAGGGTTTGTTCTTCTGTATATAAGTTAGTATGGAAGCCGAGAAAGCTCATCACAAAAATATCTTTCAAATCCAGAAATATATTTTAAATCCAGAAATATATTTTAATTCCAGAAATGTATATTTTTAATCGCAAAATATTGTTTAAATCGCGAAATATATTTTAAATCCAGAAATATATTTTAAATCCAGAAATATATTTTAAATTCAGAAATACATTTTAAATCCAGAAATGTATATTTTTAATCGCAAAATATTGTTTAAATCGCGAAATATATTTTAAATCCAGAAATATATTTCAAATCCAGAAATATATTTTAAATCCAGAAATATATTTTAAATCCAGAAATATATTTTAAATCCAGAAATGTATATTTTTAATCGCAAAATATTGTTTAAATCGCGAAATATATTTTAAATCCAGAAATATATTTTAAATCCAGAAATATATTTTAAATCCAGAAATATATTTCAAATCGCAAAATATATTTCAAATCGCGATATTTTCAAATTATCATATGTGAATTTTATAAAAATGGCGTCATATTGTGCCTCATATGGAGCTAATTTAAAGCTTGAGGACAATTTCTGTACATTTTGTGGAAATAAGAAAAAGGTTAAAGAAGAAGAGGAAGTAAATATTCGCATAAATGAAAAACTTGCTCTTAGCGACTTTCAAAAGTATAAAACTGTCAAGAGGAAATCTAGGTTCAAAAGAAAATCTTTTGCACCGATAATTTCCAATGACTCTCTAAAAAAAAGTCGTTCTATTGAGAATGTAACAATAAATGTTGGTATTATGAAAGATAATGGTAAAGATGAAATTAACATTGTGAGGGGAAGTAAATTGCCTATACATGCCCCAAGGCAAGGTAATGCAAAGATGGTTTTTGAAATCGCTTGTGGAAAACATGCAGATCATAACCAATTTTTTGATTATAACGATAACTGGTTACTACTATATCCTGATAAAAAAAAAGCTGAATATGTTCCAGGCACTAACTCTTTGTTTACAGTTGAAAAGTATAAAGAAAGTTTAAACAAACCATTTTCAAAGATAGACTTATATCTGTGTAAGCAAAGTATTTTAAATCTAGAAAATAAAGAAGTCACCGATTAAAATAATGACAGCTCTATTTCGGATTTAGATAACTTCTGTTTTCAATATCATAGTGAAGATTTCAATAATAACACTTTGTCAAATAATTATCTTGGAGATTTTCCAGAAAAATTATCTATTGAAAATAATCAATCATTTTCTTATTTTGGTGTTGTTGACAGTAAATCTGTAAAAAATTTTAAAGATATTTCTTCACAACAAACAGCCAGTCAATCTAGTTCAGGCGTCAGCTGCGGTCTTTGTCCTGTATGTAATCAAAGGTTTCCTTTTTCAGTGCTTGAACAACATGCATATAATTGTTTAAAAAATAAAGAAAAGCGAATGGTATATTTGATTGATTCTGATGACTCAATTGATTTGACTAATAGTTATGAAAAAGAACAAGATTTTGATAAACCTGAGAATATAAATGATCTTAAAAAAAAGATTCCAGTTTTAATAAAACAACTCAGTGATATACATGATGGCGATGCCAGAATAAATGTTCGTCGTCAATTTGAATTTGAAGACTTCCACAAATTTTTTACTAAAAGTTGGAACAAGGATAAAATCCACAATTTATACAAGTTTTCATTTGTTGGTGAGCCTGCTATCGATACAGGTGGAGTGTCTCGAGAATTCTATTCAGGTTAAATTTATATGCAGAGTTGTTAATAAGGCTAAAATATAGCAAGGCTAATGTTAAATGTTACTTAGCAAACAACAAGGCTAAAATGTTTCATGACCAAGGAATTAATTCTTTTAATTAAAAGCAAGCCTGAGGATTAACAACTCTGTTTATATGTATCAATAGTGTTAATTGTTGTTTTTTAAAAGTTTTGGTTGATTATTTAAAGTTTTTTTGACTAATTGTTTTTTATTTTTTGTATCTGATCTTTTCTCAAAAAGATAATTCTTAAGGTAGTTTTAGTGTTTTCTATAACTTTGACTCAAAAATAAAAGAACAATTTAACAGTTATAATTTGCAATTTATTTGTTTAAGATTTAATTAATAAACTAAAATTAATGCTTCAAGAATTATAGTTTTTTTTCTTTACAATATTTATTTTTGTATTTAGAAGCTTTAAAATCAATTAAAATTAGGTTCTTTACTGGCGATGATTTGGTTGGCTATGTACCATCATGTGGTATTCTTAGTGTTGCAGATGGCACAGTAAAAACTATAGGCCATTTATTTGCAGCATCTATTGTGAATGGCGGACCTGCACCTTTTTTTTTGTCCCCTTGGGTTTATGAGCTTATGGTGAATGGCATTTCAACTGCAGTACGGTGTTGTCCAAAGGCTTTAGATGAATCTTCAAATTTAAAAAGTATTTTTGATAAGGTAAAATATCTCATTTTCTTGCTATTTCTGTGACAAATAAAAATATATAAAAATTATAAATAAAATCTAATTGATTTCAATTATAAATAGTGTATCTATTAAATAATATTATTTAATTTTAAATTGAATTAATATAAATTTTTTTAGATTTTATTTGCAACTACAGATGACTATTTAACTAATGTGCTATGTACTGAAGAAGGAATGGATGCACTTGAAATAATTGGATATAGAAGTGATCCAAAAAATCGTCTATTGATGATAAACATGCTCTTTTAGAGTAAGTCAATAGTTACCTATAATACCTTATGAATAAATCAATTAGGATCTTCAAAGATCATTTGTTATTTCATCATTTAATAAACCTCTAGCCTCAATTCATTTAACTTATTTTTAAATATCTTCATATGTTCAATTTTTATTTTCTTTTTTCATTAGATCAATGTTAATTAAAGGAAAAATAGAGCAACTTTTACCTGTAGTTGGAGAAATTGCGATTGGTTTACAAGTGTATGGCCTTTATGAAGTTATAAAAAAAAATTCAAATATCATGCGAGTTTTATTTTGTGCAAACGAAAGTTTTATATGGAAATTTGATGATTTTATACTTTTGTTAAAACCGCAGTTTAGCGAATCCGGAGGGAACAAAAAATCATTTGAAATTTCTACATACAAAGCTTTTCTTGGTGTTGTTGAGTATAGCTTCAATACTGGTATTGACACTTTTTACTGTTAAATTTATTATAATACTCTCAAAAACAAAGCAGCAGATTATGTATTTTTATTATTTAGAACTGGCGGATCCTTCATCAAATGATATTTTGCAGTTTTTGACTGGCTCGCCGTCCATTCCCGCAATAGGGATTCCAAAAGATATTTCTATAGTTTTTGTTCATGGATGTCCGTTAACAAATAATGGTAAAGAATGCAAATGTTTACTAACAGTCAGCACTATATATATATATATATATATATATATATATATATATATATATATATATATACATATATATATATATATATATATATATATATATATATATATATATATATATATATATATATATATATATATATATATATATATATATATATATATATATATATATATATATATATGTATATATATATATACATATATATATATACAGCACATATATATATATATATATATATACATATATATATATATATATATATATATACATATATATATATATATATATATATATATATATATATATATATATATATATATATATATATATATATATATATATATATATATATATATATATATATATATATATATATATACTTATATAGCTTGTTTGTGTATTTTTATATATTTATAGTTGAAAACACGAAACTATATTGCTTGATAAATAATTGTGTTATAAATTTTTCTTGCTTCATCCCAGTTTCTCGGCGGCATTTTTAGTCCTTTTTCGTTTACTACGTCTTTAAAGTAGTTAACAAGTTGCAAGTCGCTCTTATTCAAAATTTCGTAGGCTTCAGCGTGAATATCTCTTTGACTTAGTATTCCGGAAAGAATGTCATCGTTAATATTTACTCCACATTGCTGGTAGTTATAGAGCTCTGGTAAATAAAACATTTCGTCTGGTATCCCATGAACATTTGCATGTCGGGTCTTTCTAATATTATGGGAATTCCACTCCTCTTTCATTTTATCAAGCTCAAATTGTATTAATTCAGAGTAACTAAACCAAACGCATTCCATTTGGAAACAATCTCCAAGTCTTAAATCATCATTAAAAACCATTCTTTTAAAATATTCTATAAAAGATGTTGTATATGTCCTTTTCAAGTTCGACCATAGGTTTTCAATTCTTTGGTCAGACTGCGAACTGCCGTACTTGTGTGCATTGATATCATTATGTACAAAGGAGTGTATTGCTGCAATAATGCCGTTTTCTGTGCCGCAATCAGTTCTCAGAGTATCTGGACACACTTTTAATTCTTTCAATGCATTAAGATAGAAATGAGCCGGAATAACTGGGTCTTTATTTGTTCGGCAAAGTTTTAACCAAATTATTTTACGAGAAAACCCATCAATGCATCCATGAATAGGGAAACCATACGGCTTTAATTTATCGTAGCCATCAACATGCCACACAAAATTTGGACCTTGGGAACTATAAACTCTTCGTTTTAGTTTACAATGTTTCCTATTTTCGGATTGCCCAGGGTTAATTTGCCTGAGGATGTTCATGACGTCATCTCTGTTGATGGAGATACCGTAACTTATGCGTAATGTGTGCCATATACTGCGGTAACCTTTAATTCCGGCAAAGGTTTGCACCTCTGTTTCTATTAGGCGGCGAATCGAAGTGTTTTCAAATAATCTATTTTTTCTTTTTAAACCCATTTTATTTAAATAACGTTTTAATGTACTAACACTAATTTCCAAACCATGGTAGCGACTTAACAGGAAAACAATTTTTTTGTATTGCATTCCTTTGTGAAAGTAATGCTTAATCAATTCTTCAGTGAAGTTGTTTTGAATTGATGTTTCTTCCTCTGATCGTTTCCTTCGTTCCCCGCACCGAGGGCAAAAAAACTCAGTATTGAATAAATATTTTCTTCCACAACAAAAACAAAAATTAACAAACATTTTATCACTTGATCGCTTTTAATTGTTTATTTACTAAAACTGCGTTTTTGTTCGTTTGTTTGTTATTATTATCAGCTTTTTGTTTTTCAAAACATGTGAAAGTATTATATTCAAAATATATATTTCTGGATTTAAAATATTTTTTGCGATTTCTAATATATTTCTGGGTTTTAAACATAAATTTTTGGATTTCAAATATATTTTGCGATTTGAAATATTTTTTGCGATTTCTAATATATTTCTGGATTTAAAATATATTTCGCGATTTAAACAATATTTTGCGATTAAAAATATACACTTCTGGATTTAAAATATATTTCTGGATTTAAAATATATTTCTGGATTTAAAATATATTTCTGGATTTGAAATATATTTCTGGATTTAAAATATATTTCGCGATTTAAACAATATTTTGCGATTAAAAATATACACTTCTGGATTTAAAATATATTTCTGGATTTAAAATATATTTCTGGATTTAAAATATATTTCTGGATTTAAAATATATTTCTGGATTTAAAATATATTTCTGGATTTGAAATATATTTCTGGATTTAAAATATATTTCGCGATTTAAACAATATTTTGCGATTAAAAATATACATTTCTGGATTTAAAATATATTTCTGGATTTAAAATATATTTCTGGATTTGAAAGATATTTTTGTGATGAGCTTTCTCAGCTTCCATAAGTTAGTTTGTGAACCAGAATCTTTTTAATTCTTTGAGTATTTTAGGAATTATGGCAAAGTCTTTTTTTGAATTTTACCCCTTTTTTAATTTCCCCAAATACGTAGAGCTGCCATTATGGATCTAAACATAATTATAAGTTTTTACTGGTTCACATACTAATTTTATGTATATCCTGCATGCAAAACCAAATATCATTAAAAAACGAATGTACAGGTAACTAGAACTCTTTGTTTTAAGAAAGTGGTGATTAAAGCATTTTTTTTTAATATTATTATATATATTAATAATATTATTAATATTATTTTTTTAATACAAATATAATTTCTTTATGTTCAAAAATAAAATAAACTTTCCATCAAACTATATTTTTTTTATTTTTTAACTAGACAACCACCTAAAAATGGAGCCTAAAAATGAAATCTTTGGTCATAAACATGTATCATGTCTATAATTAATCCATAAATAGTTTGCCGTTTTTAGACAATTCTGGCCCCCTGTGCATTGTTTTGATATAGTATATGATAAACACCAAAAAGTTATTAGCTCCTTGTCACCATATATGGTGACAAGGAGCTAATAACTTTTTGGTGTTTATCATTAACTATATCTATATATATATATAAATTGCATATATGCAATTTATATATATATATATAAATTGCATATATGCAATTTATATATATATATATATATATATATATATATATATATATATATATATATATATATATATATATATGCATATATATATATACATATATATATATATATATATATATATATATATATATATATATATATATATATATATATATTTATATATATATATATATATATATATATATATTTATATACATATATATATATATATATATATATATATATATATATATATATATATATATATATATATATATATATATATATATATATATATATATATATATATATATATATATATATATATATATATATATAAATTGCATATGGTGACAAGGAGTTAATAACTTTTTGGTGTTTATATAAAAGATTGAAGTAAATAAGGAATAGGTATATGATTGATCGGTGTGGAATAAATTTGTACAGAAATGGTAGGTTTGGTACAGACCCATAATTTACGGATACGGAAAGCTAGGATTTATGGTAAGCAGAAGATAGTATGCGTCAGGATGTGTTTTTCAATTATGCAACTCTATTTGTTACGTTTTGGTAATGTTAAATAACGTTGCGTATTTGTTTTCATTCGTTATTTCCACGTGCTTCGTGTTTTTTAAACTTTAAATGGATGAAAATAAAGATAATAGAAAGTTTACATATTATAATAATTATACCATTCAAAAATAATATTTTTATAAAATAGATTCAAAAATATAAAAGATTATAAAATTTTTGATGCGGGATAACATTGATTAAGGTAATAAAACTATTATTATTTAAATGATTACTTTTGTGTAACTGTCGATTTTTTCACTTGAGTTCTTACCTTTACAAATAGACAGTCTAATGGAATGAATCAATTTTTACTACATATGCGCCAGTGACTAAAAAATATAGCTATTGCAGCTTTTTTTGTAAATTACATTCTTTTATGTTTTTTGCTTTTTCATATGAAAAAGAAAATAATATAAGAGAATATAATTTACAAAAAAGCTCAGATGGTTATTTGAGAATAATGAAGCACTCTATTCAAAATGAGGTGCAATAGTTGTGTAAAAACATTTTTTTTTTCACTTAGTAAGTTATTATATAATACAAGTTATAAAATAAACTTTCATCTTAGCTATTTTAGCTGCATGACAAATAAAGGGGTTAGTAAAGTTTAATTTATTTTCAATTTTAACACCAAGTACCTTGGTCAGGTACTTGGTAAATTCACAAAGTTATAATTTTTCCTTTTTCCAACATTTTCCAAAAAATATGTTAATAGATAAATTTTTCAGTGATACTCAAGTAATTTTATTTAGAGTTTGTAAAACGTATGCCCATTTATTTACTTGCATTTAGTTTTAAACAATATTAACTAACCAGCCCCAATGTTTTTAAATTGTAAAATTATTTATATTGTTGTTTATAGCTAACAAAAAAAGCTATACATTTATTTATAATGATGAAATGAGGCCTTTTGTTACATAAAACAACATGAACTAGAGTACACCGTTCGCTATGCAGCATGGTTCACACCCAAAGGGTTTGGTAATACAGGTTAGAACCTTTTTTTATTTATTTTATATCAGTTATAAATGATTAAGTTAAAGAATTTTGAATTTATTTACTAAGTTTATGTTATATATAGAGTAAGTATATTTACCAATTAATTTAGCAAATATTTGAGTTGCCAGGACATTATTTAACTCCAAATTTTCCATAAAAATGAAAATAATTTGATTTATCAAAAGTTCAATCTGAAAGGTTAATATAGAACATTATAAAGCAAAATATGTACCGATAGTGACAAAAAAGCATAAGTTAAGTGTAAGAGAGTGGTTAAAAGTGTATTACTATTTTCATCACATTTCCCCCGTGGATTTTTTCTTCCCAATTTTAGGCTCACACTGAATAGTATAAATATGACTGAATAGTATAAATATAATTTTTATACTTCATATGTTTAAAAATTATTTGAAAACAAGAAAATATAAACTTGCAAATGTTCCTTTTTTAAGTTATAATACAAATGTTAAATAACTAACAAAAAAAATAATATGAAAGTTTATGTTAGAAGTAAAATATTGCCTTTACGACCAAATAAAAATGGCTAAATTTTGGGTTAATTTTGATGTCAATTCTTAAGTTATTACAGGTTTGAGTTATGAGGAGATTTATAAAAGAAAAATCAACAGGAATTCTAAAATACTTTGAGTTACTGGAAATTTGAGTTACCTGGGGTTTGAATTATTAGGAATTTACTTTATTTTAAATTATTTAAAACAAAATATAGGTTTGTTAAATATATAATTGGCTAATCACTATTGGTGTAAAATAAATTGTGTTATATCTAGATGCTCATAGTAAAAAACACAAAGTATTATGGGAAAGTGAAGGATGTTACGCAAATGTTCCATTCATAGTTTTAGCACGCAAAGTTTTGAATTGCTCACATGGAATAGATCGTAATGATGCAGCAAAGAAAGCATACAAGAATAAGACAAAAACAAAGGTAAATTCTATTATCAATAAAATAAGATGCAAATAATAACTTAATCATTAATAATTAACTGTTATTAATGTACTTATTTTATAATTTTAGATAACAGAACACTCTTGTATGAGGAGTTATATTAATGTGCAGGACACGAAAAAACTTAAATGCCCAGCCCAAGTTATTTTGAAGGAAATTATATACTTCAAGAATTACATGGTATTTTTAAAGTGATTTACTAAGGTTGTAAAAATTTTTGTTACTATTTGTAATGCGCAAACAATAAAAAAAAAAATTAAGAATAGTATTCTAAACATGTTTTGTAATTTATAATTTATGCCAATATTAGAACTAGTTTTAATTCGAAGCAGAAAGAGGGCAAAGCCATATAAGTAAAACACACTCGCAGTGATTTTTGGGCATATCACTGCATAAACTGTATAATTTTTTTGGGTATGTCACTGAATAAGCTGTAACATTAATTACCTCTATTTTTTTTATTTCCTTTTTCATAATTTAAAGCTTGCTGAACCAAACACATGGAAAAAGAGAAAAACTTCTTTAAAAATAAAAAATTTGCTAAGGAAAAAAAGCGAAATTGGAGTCACTGAGAAGCAAATTAAGCTAATTATTGATGACATTTCAGCAACAAAGAAATCATGCTGTTAGTTAGAAGTAAGTTCAATTTTATTATTAAATTTTTTATAAAGTAAATGTCTTGAAAAGTTTAGAAATTTAGTATTTTTTATTTTTCAAAAAAAAATTTTGATAAATATTTAGCTTGTGGCTTTTAAAGTTATACCCGACAACTACATAGCAAATTTATGTTTTGTTTCGAATTTATTCAACAAACCTATATTTTTTTTAAATAATTCAAAATAAAGTAAATTCCTAATACTTCAAACCCCTGGTAACTCAAATACAATATTTATATGGTATAAATTAAGTATACTATACTATAGTATAGTATACTTAAGTTCATATAGTTACTATACTTACCATATTGTAAAATTATACTTTGCATGGATAATATTGTTCAATATGTCAATTAAAAATCACCTAGTATTGTCATTAGTGGTATACCACTGTATTGCAGTTGAGGTTGATGTTAAAATTAAAGGGTTCAAAATGTTTTAAAAATTATAAAATATTAAATCATAATTTTACAAATAAAATAGCATGTTAATGAATTGGGCATTGCTGGAACTTTTATTTATCAACCTATTTTCCTTGCATATCAATGTTTTTGAATTTTACACCATTATGTTTTGCTGAATCTTAAAATCTACAGTTTTTAAAGTCTTCTGTCATCTACTTTCTTGATCTCTAATTTTCTTTAAGTTTTCTGTAACTCCTAACTTAAACTGTATATACTATGTTGCTTGCATCCTTGTTGGTATTGAATTAGGTAAAAAAAAAAAGGGTTGTGGCTTGCGGCCTTGTTGGTTTTGAACTAGGTAAAAAAAAAAAAAGATGAAAAAAATGTATTCTTAATTTCTTAACTTGCTGGTATTTCACAGGAAATTGATCCTAGATTATCTAAAAAAAATTGTAGATTATACCAATGAAGTAAAAATACACGAAATGAAACGCGTACTAAAAATCTTTGTAAAAAATGAAATGTTTGATAAATCATCTATGTCTGATTTAAGAAATAGAAGTTTTTTCTCTATCAACAGCATTATTCGACTGCATTTGGTACAAGCACGAAAGAAATTACAACTTTCTTTTATTAACCAGGAATGCTTTTTTGACAAAATAAAGACGTGGCAAAACGAGGATCCATCTGTAAATATTTTTATTCGACCTAAAAATAACTCCACATTAAATAACATAGCAGACAAAACACATAAAAATGAAGATATTAATGAATAAGAAGATGATTTGAAGTTTACTGAAAATGATTCAGAAAAATCACTGTTATTTGTTTACCAATCAGAATAACAATGCAAACTTGTGCGTTGATATGGTTATGAAATGCTCTTATTAGATGCAACCTATAAAACCACCAGACATGTTTTACTAATTATTTTTTTTAGTAGTCAAAACAAATGTTGACTACCAAATAGTTAGATGCTTTATTACAGAAAATGAAATGAAAAGAGCAATCTATGAGGTATTGCATGTTTTTAGTAAAATGAATTCAAACCTTTCTCCTAAATTTTGCAGATTACTGTAATGAGGAAATTGGTTCATTGGAAGAAACTTTTCCTGGCAAGTTTTTTGAATAGTTAGAATTTCAATAAAGTCTTTGTGTTTACAATAGTTCTTTGGTTGTTATAACAGAGGGTGCGAAATAAAGTTTTTGGTTTTTGTTTGCTCTGGGTGTAAGATGTTTTATGCTTTTTGTTCAGATTGCAAAGTTTTGGTCTGCAATTTTCATTGGTAGCAGGTCTGGCAGCTTTGGTTGGTAAAGGTCTCAAATGGCTGTGCTAATCACAAATCCAATATCCTGCTTAAACTGAGAAAAATTGCTCATTCAACAACTGTAAATGCAATGGAGTTAGCTGTAATGGATTTGAAACAATCTGATTTTTGGAATAACGAAATAAATTTAATTGAATTAATTCAGGTCTTTTAATTATGTATAAGCTTAAAATATTTTTTTTTATATTTACATTTTTCAACATTGGGTTTGGGCATACCGTCAAAATCGTCTACTTATTCATTTAAATACTAACAATGGAGTGGAGAGGCAAAACAAATCTTTCAAATATTTTTGCCTCCAACAATTACGAATTATTCATTAACTGGAATGCTAACAATCTTAATTAAAGGGTTTTTTATAGATAAATATCAAAAGTAAACAACAACTGTCTTATATATCATTTTAAGTTATTAAACTTAATTGTGTTAAAATTATTTACAATTAAAAAAATTAAGTATTACAATTGTATAATGTGTATTAAAAGTATTTAATTGCTTAAAGTATCACTATTGGTTTATAATAACATTTCGTTATGTTCAGTTATTAGCTATACAGAAAAGAACTTCAAAATGGACTCGAGGTATCGTCAGTACGCAAAAATAATACCAAATTTTTTAATAAATAGGCCTCGTGCATTGGTCAAGCGTTGTTTTCAGAAAATCAGTTTAGCTGGAAGCATTGATTTATCTAAAGTCTTAATGATAAATCATAGGGTTTTTTCCATTAAAGATAACAAAGAAAACTACTAGATTAATTTTGGAAATGATAATTCTATGCCTAACTGCACATGTACTTCCTGGCGTTCATCTTGCTTTTCCTGCAAGCATTTTTTTGCCATTTTTAGAAAGTTTCCACTCTGGCAATGGGATGCATTGTCAGAACTCTATCTTAGTTCACCATTCTTAACATTAGACAATGAAGAAAATACTTTACCTGACAAAATAAGTTGTTTTCAAAATAAAGAAACTTTATATGCAACAGATGGATGTGACATTAGTTTATCAAATTCTAAAAATCTAGACTTGTCTGAAGAAATAAATGCCAAAAAAAATGTGTTCGTACATTGTTTCGTACATCGATTATTTATTTTCTTTTACTCGACTAGATTATTTATTTACTAGTCGAGAAGGAAACATTGTTATAGCAGAGCTAATCGAGACGAGTTCCCTTCGTACCAAAGTACTACTCATACGCTGAGTAGGCGAAGCCGAGATTTGAACCTGCAATCCTGCTACTACGGACAATAATTATTCCGAACTTTATAGCAGCGCTTTAACCAACTGAGCTATCCCGGCTCAAAACCGCTTCGTACCCGCTTCGTACATCCTTTTTATATCATGACTTATATCATTGTTATAACACCCACGGCTTATTTTTTAACCACTCATTTGGCTTAAATTTATTTGGTTTCATTACAATATTTAGTTAGTCTAATTGCAATATTTATTAATATATTATTTATCTGCTGATTTTCATTTTATTACTGTTAACAAGGAACTTTTATGTTGTATTATCTTGCATTCATTACTCAGCTATGTTTTAATTTTCACATGCACAATTCTCATCTTTATTATTATTTAGAGATTATTTTTATATCCTTCATTAAATGTATACATATATGCTATCATATATTATTCAATTATTGTTATGATTTTGGGTTTCGCGGGTTGCTCATTTTCCTACACTTTTGATTGGTTATCATATTTCGAATGAGGTATCTTATGACAGCGTTAGAGTTTATTTAAGTTTTTTGTTGTTTTGTTGATTAAATTTTTTTTTTTATGAGGTATACTGCTTTCTGATTATCTTGGCTTGTTTATGCTAATAATACCTACTTGGTTTCATTTCTTAAAATAAATGTATTAATATTTTTATGTTTCTATTAGAATTTTAATTTATTTTGTTTTCATATTTTCTTTTGGTGGTATGGTAAGTGTTTTATTTAGTTTTTTTTATTTTTGTTTGTTCAGTAGATCTACACTTTTATATCATATCATCGAAAAAATATTGGTTCTTTACAAATTTGGGTTTGGTTGGGTTTTGGCTATTTGTAATGAGTCCTTTTTTACTGCAGTATGGAATAGGCGTAAGTCGCGGGGTAAAGTATAAGTGGCGATGACGTTTGTCTGACAGGATAAACTAGTTATAAATGCTGATCCTCATCGAAACGCCAGTAATAATAGACACGACTCTGAGGAGATGTTTATTACTTAATCACTGCACAAATTATGTTTACACATTAGCATTAATGTTTGTTTGTTTTTTCATTCTGAGGCCTTTCATTGTTGTTAGCATGCTTTTTATTTTGTGATCGATTTTTTGTTTTTTGTCTGGTGATGTATTTGTTGTACATCTTCGTTCATATTGGTGTTTATAAAACAATTTTTTTTATTTTTTTTATTGGTATTGTTGTTGAGTACTGTTTTGGGGTCTGTCTTATTTATTTTTAAATATTCCTCTATTTTTTTTTATTTTTTTTTCGACAACTGTCAAAATATGCTTTGTTTAATAAATAATTCTCTTTTATTCTTATGTATTTCATCTCTTCCCTCGGGCGTTCACTGCTCGTGTGTGACCATTCGGTGAATTTTATATACCAAAGTTTTTTAAAAAAATATGTATTACAATTGTATAATGTGTATTAAAAGTATTTAATTGCTTAAAGTATCACTATTGGTTTATAATAATATTTCATTATGTTCAGTTTATTTTTTAGCTATACAGAAAAGAACTTCAAAATGAACTCGAGGTATCGTCAGTACGCAAAAATAATATTAAACTTTTTAATAAATAGGCTTCGTGCATTGGTCAAGCGCTGCCTACAGAAAATCAGTTTAGCTGGAAGCATTGATTTATCTAAAGTCTCAATGATAAATCATAGGGTTTTTTCCATTAAAGATAATAAAGAAAACTACCAGATTAATTTTGGAAATGATTGTTCTATACCTAACTGCACATATCCTTCCTGGCGTTCATCTTGTTTTCCCTGCAAGCATTTTTTTGCTATTTTTAGAAAGTTTCCACTCTGGCAATGGGATGCATTGTCAGAACTCTATCTTAGTTCGCCATTCTTAACATTAGACAATGAAGAAAATACTTTACCTGACAAAATAAATTGTTTTCGAAATAAAGAAACTTTATATGCAACAGATGGATGTGAAATAAGTTTACCAAATTCTAAAAATCTAGACTTGTCTGAAGAAATAAATGCCAAAAAAAATGTGTAATATTGATTTTAAAAAAAAGCGTTTCTGCTGGGGGCTGTACGGAACTCCTTAGTTTAATCAAAAATCAATTGTATGAGGTCAACAAAAGTACCAGTCTTTTTACAGAAGTATATTGTCTGTTACTGAAAGCGTCAAAACTTCTACAAGAAAATACTACCCACGAGAGTGGCATGCCTATTAGTCAGCAACATCATGTTAAAAACTTTTAGCCAAAAAAGCGTAATAAAAAACATATTCTAGTCGCCGTGAATTAGCTAAAAAAATAGCTGATAGCAAAATAAATGTTACAACGTTTACATGTCATGACGTCAATGTGGAGGATGAAGTAGTTATTGAAGACATGGAGCTAGATGGCCTTACTTCATTTACTTATAATGTACCGGATGTGTATGTACAGTCAGAAGGAGAGTTTAAGAAAATTTTAGTAATAAAAGACAACATTGAAAATTCCTCCAATATATTTAACCCTTGTTTTGATATTTCCAGACATGACTTTGAAGCGATTGGTAGCAATGAAATGCTAATTGATAACATAATTAATGCTGCACAAAAAATGTTACTTCGTAAGTACCCTAATACTAAAGGTTTACAAGACCCTATCCTTGGCCAAAACCTCAGATTTAGCATTTCAAAAGTTAAAGAGTTTGTTCAAGTGTTGCATGATCGGTGTGCTCATTGGTTTGCGATTACCATAGTAAACTGTGTATCTGGGCAAATTTTTGTAATGGATAGTCTTTTTAAAGGTAAACTTAGCCACGCCTCAATGAGACAAATATGTTCAATAATTCGTTACCCATTAAGTAAAATTAAAGTTACAGTTTTACCAGTTTAACAACAAACAAATGGTATTTACTGTGGCATCTATGCAATTGCTTTGTACAGTACCTGTTACATTTTAAAGACTATCCCACAAACGTGAGTTTTGATCAAACAAAACTAAGAATCGAGCTGCTTAATTCTTTTAAAAACAACTATTTAAGTTTGTTTTCAACCACAACAAACAATGTCAGACAAAATGTTGAAAAGGAGATATATTTAGATTTATAATGCACTTGCAGAATGATTTGGGTCCCATCAGATAAAAATATATTTGGAAGGTCGATATTTTCATTTTCTTATATAATAATAGTTATAACTAATTCTATTACGTAATAGTGAATAAAATTTAAACTTTAGAATATAAATGTAAAAAAGTATAAATTAGATCAAATTAAATCTAATTTTTTACTAAAACAAATCTTTAAATAATGTGTTTTATTTATAGGCACATGATAGAATGTCCAGGATGTTTGCAGTGGTTTCACAGAATGTGCGAAAGAATTGCAGATAATGTTCTTAATGATGACAGTATCAACTGGCATTGTTCAACTTGTGATAAAATAAAATAATGATACTTCATTGTTACTTTTTTTTATTTTGATATTTTTAATTTTTATATTTTGGTTCTGTTATCATATATCCCGGTGGAAAAACGGCTTGCGAATAGCTAGCTATAATCGTTACGATAAAGACAGCGATTTGGCCACGAGGATCGCTAGCTTTTTTAAGTTAGCGAAAAGCTATTGATATTTGTAAAGATAAAAATAGAGTTTTGACTACGAGCTAGCTAGCTTAATAATCTAAAGACTCACAGGCTATTGTAGCTACCGTCATATCGTAATAAAATTGCTATCAAAAAAATTTTGGTATGTAGCTATCAACCAGCAATAGATTTGTAGTTATTTCGTAGCTAGCTACAAAGCTACGATATGAAGCTAGCGACACATTGCTACAAAATCGCAATATTTAAAGTTCAATTATTCTCATAATTATAATAGACTTAACACTAAAATTCGAATTTTTAAAAATGTTAGAGACATTAGTAAAGAATAAAATAAGAAAAAAAAATCGCTTAAAAATCGCTATAAAGCTAGTTAGTCGCTAGATAGCTTTATAGCGCTATATATATATATATATATATATATATATATATATATATATATATATATATATATATATATATATATATATATATATATATATATATATATATATATATATATATATATATATATGCGGGGCAACATGGCGAACGTTTTGAAAGCGTATAAAGTTGCGCTAATAATATTTAAAAAATCCAATTGGTGTTTTAAAATACCAGATGCAAATACGGATTTGTTTTCACCCAACTTTAAGATTTTTTGTTAAGTTGTTATAAGAAACCCATCTTGTCCCATTCGTCATTGCCCCGCTTTCCCTTACACATGCATAAATGTGTATGAAATACTTAAAATTTACATTGTATATACATATACACCTAAAATATCATACATATTTTTATTGTATTATATACTCTTATTATATACATATACTTTATATACATATGCATATACATTTTATACATATGCTATGTGTATGAAATACATTGTAAAAGGGGCCATCCATAAATGATGTAAGTAAATATAGGGGGGGGGGGGGAAGTACTGAAAAGTTTGACCAGAACTGACAATAATATGACATAATTATGGAAGATCGCTTCAACAACTTATGGGAAGATGATGAGTGATTGAATTTATATTATAAATATAGAATAAAAATTTGATTAGTTTGTTCATTATTTGATGAGGTATCAACTGTTCTTTAATATAATTTGCTGAGATCTACTATTACAAAATGTATAAGTTAACCAGAAAAAAATCAATGGTTTTAACACATATTTTTAATGTTACTTTAGGGGGGGAGGGGTACAAAAACTGACATCGTAAATAAGAGGGGTAGGCCAAAAATTGACAGAGGGGGAGGGGGTCTAAAAATTCAGAAAAATCAATGACAACATGTATGGACAGCCCCTATACATATACGCTTAAAATATCTTTAAATAAGACTTAAATAGTAACACAATAACCTCATGACATAGTTTTAGTGTTAATTTTTAAAAAATTTTATAATAACAACTCTATTAGGTGGTTATATATTTAATAATCTGTATGAACAGGATTTTGGAACTATTATCAGTCATGAAGGTAAAAATAACATTAATACAAAAATTAATGATGAAAACAACATGAGGACAAACACAATGATTTTTATACTATATTTTAATGAAAAACACACTTACAATGTAAATTTGCCGATGTCATGATATAAACATTATACCAATTGATTCGTGCACCTCTTATACTGCAGAAAGGTCTTTGGCTTTAAGAGCTGCAAAACTTCTGGTGGCAAAATAGGTAGTTGATACCGAACTGACCATGGTGTCACAGTTCTAATAGATCCTACTAAAATATTCCCAGCATCAGTGTAACACCCTTCTGATGTACTACTAAGAACACCTAGCTCAGACACATAATAAACACAACATTTTTATTATAGCACAAAGGTAATTATTAGTAGAAACCAGGGATGGTTTCTACTAACAAAAAATGGCAATATA